CTCACCAACATCTGTTGTTTTTTTCACTTATTAATAATAGTCATTCTGACTGGTATGAGGTGGACTTCCCCTGCTAGGTAAGTATTTTAAGAACCCACTGGCATCAGTGAACCAGCTAGTGTTGTAAGAGGTTGACCTCAGTGATTTTTTTTTTTTTTTTGGGGGGGGGGTGGGATTCTTTCAAGGCATTTGTTTATTTCATGATAGGTGGTTTACAATCACCAAACTGCACTGTGTGTGTTCAGCAGTTGTTGACCAAAAAACAGCATGACCCCCACTGCCCACCCTTTGTATTCACCTGATCTTGCCCCAGGCAACTTTTTGTTTATTTTCCTGGATGAAAAAAAATCCTCAAAGGGAACCATTTTGCCAACATGGGAGAGGTGAAGCAAAAATTGGCAGGAGCACTAAAAGTCTTCAAAATTGATGAATTTACAAACTGTTTTTGAGCAGTGGAAAAAGTATCTGGATAGGTGTATTGCCTCAAACAAGAGTACTTTGAAGGTGACTGAAGTTTAAACATGTAAAAATAAATACGCGATTTTTTATAAATAAATTCTGGGTTTTTGGGGGTTCCCCCATGTGTCTCATTGTGGTTTTGATTTGCATTTCTTTGATGATTAATGATGTTGAGTATTTGCAAAACTTTTCACCCATTCTTTGGATTATCTTTCCATTTTTGTTGGTATACTTTGAAGAACAAAAGTTTAACATTTTGATGGCTCAATTTATTATTTCTTTTGTTACTTGTGATTTTGGTGTTGTATCTAAGAGACAATTTTCTTGCCCAAAGTCATGAATTTTTGTAGTTTTAGCTATTATATTTTGGTCTATGATTCATTTTGAATGAATTTTTGTATATAGTATGATGTAGGGGTATAACTTTATTTTTCTGCATATGGATATCTGGTTGTCCCAGCACCGTTTGTTGAAAATTCTTTTCTATTCTCATTCAATTGTCTGGGTATCCATGTGAAAATGAATTGTCTATACAAAGGTTTATTTCTGGACTCTCAATTATAGTCTATTGATTTATATGTATATTCTTATGTCTTGATTAATATAATTTAGTGGTAAGTTTTGAAGTGTAGAAGTGTGAGTTCTCCAGCTTTGTTCTGTTTCTTCAAACTTGTGTTGGTTATTTGGAATCTTTGGTTTTCATATGAGTTTTAGAATCAGTTTGTCAACTTCTTCAAAAAAGAAAACAACTGGAATTTTGATAGGGATTGTGTTAAACTGTATTAGTTGAAGATCAATTTCAGGAGTATTGCCATGTTAGCAGTATCAAGTTTTCTAATTCATAAACATAAATCATCTTTCCATTTATTTAGATATTTACTTTATTTCAATGTATTTTATAGTTTTCAGTGTTTGAGTCTCAAGCTTCTTTGGCTAAATTTATTTTTAATATTTTATTGTTTCCATGACTAATGTATGTGCAATTGTTTATTTAATTTTCAGATTGCTCTTTGCTACTGTATTGCTATTGTAATGTATTGTTCATCACTACTATAAAATTGATTTTTGTTTATTGATCTTTTATCTCACAACCTTGTTGAACTTGTTAATTCATTCTAGTAGTTTTTTTGTTTGTTTTTGTGTATGTGTAGATTCCTGGAGATTTTCTATATTTAGATCATATGAGAAGAGAGAGTTTTATTTCTTCCTTTCTAATCTAGATTTATTTTTTTCTTTTCTTACATAAGTTTTCTAACTAAAATCTCCAGTACAATATTGAATAGGAATGGGGAGATAAACATTTTACTCTTGATTTCAGAGAAAATGTATTCAGTCTTTCACTATTACATGTGATGATAGCTGTGAATTTTTTGTAGGTACCTTTTGTCAGGTTGAGAAAGTTTTCTTTCATTAGTTTGATTAGTAATTTTATCTTAAAAGGGGCTAAATATTATTAAATGCTTTTTCAACATCTACTGAGATAATCACGTGGTTTTTGTCCTTTATTATATTAATACAGAATATTACATTGATTGATTTTTGGATGTTAAATCAACTCTGTATTCCTAGGAATATGTCATGGTGTATAATCCTTTTCATGTGTTGCTCGATTCAGTTTGCTAGTATCTTGCTGAGGACTTTTGCATTTATAAGAGATATTGGTCTGTAGTTTTCTTGTGATGTATTTGTCTAGTTTTGATATCAGTAATAGCGGCCTTGTAGAATGAGTTGGGAATTGTTCCCTCCTCTTCTACTTTTTGGAAGAGTCTGTGAAGGATTGTTTGTTAATCTTCAAATGTTCTTATTTTGGTTTTTTATGGATTTCTTTGTAGTTTGCTTTTATCAAATTGCAAATAAAGCTTGTAAATGGGGGCAAGAAGGTGGTTTTTATGCTGATTGGTCCCTCCAGGCCAATTTTGCTAAAGTGAAAGTACAGAATTCTAAGTAAAATTGTTTGCTTTATTTTGCCTCACTCTATTAAACGATAATGGATTCTCCACCACTGAAAGACATGCCTAAGTGCCGAAACAATTTTAAAGATTTTCATATCTTGAATTCACAACCATAGTTAAAAGATGCCTTTTAGTGTCATTTCCTCTAGTTGAGCTCGGCTCACTATCCTTATTTTAAGAAATCATACATGTAGCTTATTAGTTCAAATTGTCTAGAAATTTTATTTAAAAGAGCCTGTTAAGAAATGTTGTACTGACCTTCGCTTGAGTAAGAGAGTCTGAGAACAAAGAGAGTTTGTTGAATCCCAGACATCATGTAAGGTAATATGAATAATAAATATTTAGATTGTCTTTCTACATGTTGCAAGGTAATCTCTGGTCATTAGTCACACTACTAACTTTAGTGGGAAAAATTAGCACTAAAGAAATAACAACAGCTAATGTTTACTAAGTAATTACTTTGTACCAAACACTTGTACCAAACACTGTCTTAAATTCTTTTTTTTTTTTGAGTTGGAGTCTCACTCTGTCGCCCAGACTGGAGTGCAGTGGCCACTCCCAGCCACCACAGCCTTGACCTGCTGGGCTCTGGCGATCCTTCTGCCTCAACCTTCCAAGTAGCTGGAACTACAGGCGCACGTTACCATGCCCAGCTAATTTTTTGATTTATTGTAGAGATGAGGTCTCGTCAAGTTGCCCAGGCGGGTGTCGAATCCGGGGGCTCAGGCAAACCGCTCACCTCGGCCTCCCAAAGTGCGGGATTACAGGCTGAGCCACCGAGCCCGGCCTTAAATTCTTTATACATACTATCTTTTATTTTTCATAGCAATATTATGAGGTCAATACTTGCACTTTTCTCCACTTTACAGATGAGGGAACTTAGAAACAGAGAGGTAATCTAAGTCTGTGGTGTCATGCAGTTACATAATGTTGGAGCCACCATTTGACCTAAGTTACGTGACTACAGAGCCTAAACCAGAAGTTAAAGGGGATTACATACACTCCAGAGCAGGGATTCAAATTCTGAGTCTCTGTATTCAAGTTCTGGGCTTATAAATCATTTGTCTCTCTTGATGAATAATAAAATTTGCAGTCAACATTTAAGAAATGTCCATAGAGGGTATATTCAGATGGTACTAATGACTTGAGATTAGACAGTCTCTATAGGAAGAACTTAATAGGCAAACTAATAAAATAAATATTTAACATTTATTGAGTGTTTCCTATATTTCCAGGGTAAGTTATTTACTCAGTTAAATTAGTTAAATGTGGAAAATAACTCTATAAAATATGTATTATTATCATCACCTTCATTTATAAATGAAGTCCCTGAAGCAAAGATGTGGGTAACTTGCCCAGGGCCAATTAGCATAAGTAGCATAACCTAGATTTGAACCTACAATGCCTGTGTTCTTAACTATCTTGCTATGCAATTTCTCTAAGTAAATAGTTACTGGAATATGACAATAATATAGTCATACCAAGAATGCAGTTATAGAGAAGGCTGGGTCATTGTGTCTGTGCATGTGGAGATTGGAGTCACTTTTGTAGGAGAAAAGCACAAAGCTATTATGTGTAGTAGACAAATGTGTTGTGGGTGAAAGGAGGAAGAATGTTGTTATGTAATTTGAGACCTCCTGAAACAAATGTGGAAATATGAAAAGAAAAACTAATTTTGAAAAGGGAGGTTTTTAGCTTATACATTAACAGACAATAGGTTGATAGATTTTCACATGCACTCAGAAGCTGTGACCATATGCCTGAGAGCACTGTGGTCTGGGAGGGTGTGGAGCTATACCTCAGGGGTGAAAAAGGACAGTTTAAAAGAGCCAATTTAGAAAATGATTTTGATAAACCTCATTAGCAGATACAGAGGTTGAATCAATGGCAGATTAATAAAAACTCCAATTATACGTGTTTCTAGTCATCTAAGAAGCATCTGGAAATTAACAGGAAAAATCTGACCAGTTGGGTTAGTATTTCTCTTTTAGTGCCAAAATTTTTAAAGTTTTTGTTTGTTTGTGGCAGTAAAATCAAGACCTTGGTTTATTCAGCAACTTCTCTTCATGGGAACACACATATTTCCTCAGACATTGTTTGACAGTTTTCCTGCATAGCTTTCTACCACCTGCACGGGGTTATATATTTGGACTTCTGTGTTTGGTTGGGAAGAGAAAGACTTTGTAGTAGTTTTCTTATAGACCATATGAATCTTCCACATGGACTGCAGCCTTGACAGACTTCAGTGCTTCATTGTCTTCTTGTATAGATGTGTTCACCTTTTTGTCACAAAGGCTCTATTAAAGTCCTTCAGAGTTTGTGGCAATTTGCTACTTTCAAGGATTATCCACATTATCAGACAAATTACATATGTCTTCAATGAGATGATTATGAAGTTGAAACCTCTTAGTTATTTTTACTAAAAATAAAAATTACATTCATATCAAAAGCAAATAAACCAGTACTGCCCACCTTCCCCATTCCCCACATGCAAACAAAGACTGGTAAAAAGTTAATATACAGGGACTTTAAAAAAATACTTTTGGTCCATTTCTACTTTCAGTGTAACCTGATGGATCTTTTCTCAAGTCCTCACACAGGTATTCAGGAATACCAGGATGCTGTGCCCAGGATCCCAACGGCCTGTATCACAGTGGAAGATGCAGAAATGCTGTCAAGAATGGCTTCTCGGGGGATCAGAATTGTCATTCAGTTGAAGATGGGGGCAAAGACCTACCCAGATACGGACTCCTTCAACACTGTAGCAGAGATCACTGGGAGCAAGTTTCCGGAACAGGTGAGTAAAGGAGAGGAATGCCTTGTCTAGAATAGGGTGTTGTGGTGAAGTCTGAGCTTTTAGATAGTTTGGTAAAGAGAGAATATGAGACTACAGAGATGGTTCTCACAGACTCCTTGAAGAAAGAAGCTATGTATATGTGTGTGTGTGTGTGTGTATACATTTTTTTTTACATCAAAAGTTGTACTACCTTGACAGAAGAAAGAAAGGCAAGATTAGTCAGAGGGAAGAATGAGACCCATGGTGTGGAAATTCAACCTCTGAACAGTTGAGAATAATGTTTTGTACATATGTATTTGCACATATTTGTACATATGTGCCTGGCATTTGAGATCAAATCAATAACTAATACTCATTGTGCTTATTGTGTGAATTGTTGTATTTAATCTTTCAAAGCTCAGTGAAGTGGAATCTATTTTTTTCATTTTATAGGTGAGGAAACTAACCTAGAAGGAAACTCACTTGCCCAAGGTACACACTAGTAAGTGACTCAAGCCCTTATGAATAGTAAATCAAGCTTTAAACCACAGTGTATGTGCAATTTCCAGAGTCAGTGTGTGGATGTGTGTGTGTTTTTGTTGTTACTATTTTTATATTTTATTTTAAAGATGTGGGTTACAATTCAGGATTAGGCATACAAGTGAAGATCATACAAGTAAAGTTTGGGCAGTGTGTGTGTTTTAATGGTTTGGAGGCAGATCCAATCTCTATACTAGCTTAATGTCAAATAACTTGGGCAAGTTACTTATTTTCTGAGCTTTACAGAATGTATCTGCAAAGAAAGGGTTGGTATGTGTAGCTAACAAACATTGGGAGAACTAGGTTAGATAATGCACATCAAATAGCCTAGCACAGTGATTGGTACATTGCAGTTGTGTTTTCTTGTATTGCATCAAGTGAGGAAAAAACAGTTTTTTTAAGGCTTCTGGTACAAATCTCTTTTATTATTAGTTATTGACTTTCTAAAACTGGAACTTGAAAATAAAGTTATAAAGAAATTTCAGACTTTTGTTTGACGGCATCAATAGAATGAAGGAAAAAGTGAATAGTAGTGGGTTGGTGATGGAGATATAAGCCTTCTGCAGCGTGAGTGTGAGTTACTTGGCTCCTTAGTCTGTAGCAGCCAGGGAGTGTCAGAGTCTGAGGCTGAAGCATCTAGGCAGAGGATTTCTTAAGAGCCAGAGGGCTGAGTAAAGCTGGCTCTGACAGCATCCTGAAGGCCATTAACGTCCTCTGGCTGAGAAGGCCTGGGCCTATTCCTCAGCTCAGCCTGATTGTTATTTTCATTTTTAAAAAATCAGCTGTATTGAGTTACAATTTACATAGAGTAAATCTACCAAATTTAAGTGTATCACTCAATGAATTTTGAAAATGTATAGTGTATGTAATCACTACCACAATTATAACGTAGACTACCTCCACCACTCCTAAGGTTTCCTTGTGTCCCTTTGCAGTCCAGTCCATTTCCAACCCCCTGGCAGCCACTGATCTCCTTTCTAGAACTATAGTTTTATCTTTTCCAGAATTTCATATAGAAGTAGAATCACATACTCTGCAGTCATTCGGGTCTAGCTTCTTTGACTCAGCATAATGATGTTTAGATTTATCTATTTTGTTGATTCATTTCTTCCTTTATATTGGTACATAATATTTTATTGTTCGTTTATACCACAATTTATTTATCTATTTATTCAGCAGCTGAAGGACATGTGGGTGGTATCTAGTTTTTGACTATTATGTATGAGATATCTGTGAACATTCTTGTACTAGTATTTCTGTGGACTTATGTTTTCATGTCTCTTGAGTAAATACCTGGGAGTGGAATTGCTGAGTCTTCCTGAATTTTAAGCATCCTGGTCTCTGTCAAGATGCTTCACTCATCTATTCTGTGGGAGTAGCATCTTCTCCAGGAAGGTAGATGGACAATTCCAGAGAGAGCTCGGGAATTGGGCTTAAACTTTTACCTCTGCCTTAGTGTTGCCTAGCATTCCAAGAGTTGATCATAAATGCCTCATTACCAAGATTCAAAAGATAGAAGATGTACAAAAGTTCTCCCACAAAGAAGTCACAACATTACTTCCACAGAAGGAATATAAATAAGCACAGTAAAGTCAAGTTTGTGGCTGTATTTCGGGGAGGATCTGCCTTATAGCCGGCCTGGAACCACAGGGGACATACAGACTGTGACAGCAAATGAAAGCATGTAGTCCCTCTTTCAAGTGTTAGGTTGGTTAATGAACGTGAGTAAGCACTGTCCATCTTATTCTCGATAAATGTCACCTCTTCCATAAAGCTTCCTCTGGTAATTCTCCTTTCATCCAAATACTTTATGCCACTGTTATGATGTTACCTGCCACCAGAGCTTGCAAATACTCTGAGAAAAGGCACTTTGTTTACTCCCCCCGCCCCATGGCTATCCTAGGATTTGGCATGCAATAGCTTGTCAACACCTATTTTGTTTTTGCAAATGAAGAAAGTAAAGAGGGAAATGGTTGGAGCATTTTGTTAATCTTGATCCTCTTTAAACTTAGAAGTTTTCCTGCCCTTTTAGAATACTGATTGTCCATCAACATACGTGACCTCTCCTCTCAATGTAACTCAGCATGTCCAAATCTGAACACATTAACTCTCTCATATTTGATGTTTGCCTTAGTTTCTTGTGTCAGTTAAATGAACCACACATACCTGTTAACAGAATTACAAAACTTCAAACTATTTTTCATTCTCTCCTCTTTATTGCTGTCCTACAGTTAGGTATTGCATCTTGTTCATTCTACATTCAGCATATTAAAACAAAATTCTATTCCCACCTTGCCTTTACTCCTATTGCTGTCTGAATTCAGACCCTCAGTATTTCCCTCCTCATTTTTTTTCTTCTGGTCTCTCTCGTGCCCCTTCTGTTCTTGGCAATGAAGCTAAAGCTGTCTTTTAAAACATTGATCTCAACATGGTATTTCCCCTCCCTGTTTTCGATAAGATAAATGTTGTGATGAAGATAAATGCTAGAGTGAGTGATTAGAGGTGAACAGAAGATAGAGGGAAAAAAAGACAAAGAAGGAGGGGAGCCTGGAAGGTAAGATAGGAAGCAGTTATAGTAAGAGGACATTATATGGTACCATTCACAAATGAACAGAAAATGAGAATGAAGAAAGGGGGAAAGGAAATGCATGATGGTGATTCAAGGTCAACTAAAAACTGTTCTTTCATAGGCCAGTGAGAGAGTTTAGCTCTCTTAAATTCTGGTAAACTTTCCTAAACTCATCTAACTTTCTTTATTATCTGCAATGCTTACAGTAACACAAATGTTGGTTTTGATAGTTTAGATTGACGAACTTATGACTAACAAATCCTCGATACTTTGTTCCATAGCACACTAAAGAATAATGGTACTAAATAACTGAGCAAATTAGTTGCAATGGAAATTCTCTCTAAAAATGAAAAGGGTAAGTCGAAATTATCATAATTCTGCCTGAAGATCAAACATCTTGAGTGATCTGAGGGTAGGCAGAGGTGAGGAAGGTGGGTTGTCTTAGTCTGTTTTATGCTGTTATAGTAGAATACCACAGACTGTGGGAATTTATAATGAACAGAAACTGACTTATGGTTCTGGAGGTAGAGAAGTCCAAGAGCATGGCACCAGCATCTGGCAAGGGCCTTCTTGTCACATCATCCTAGGGCAGAAAGTGGAAGGACAAGAGAGGACAAGAGCAAGAGAGCAAGAGTGGGCTGAGCTCCTTTTTTAAAAAATAAACCTACTCTTGAGATAATCAGTGTTCTTCTGTGATAATGATATTAATTGACTAATGAGGGCAGAACCCTCCTGATCTAATTATATCTTATTAGGCCCCACATCCCAACACTGTCACATTGAGGATTGACTTTCTAACACATGAGCTCTTCAGTGACATATGCAAACAATAGCATGGACTAACAATGGGCAGTGGATAGATAATTTTTGGTGATAACACAGGCCCTTACATCTTATTAAACATGCATAGAACCTTAAAAGTAAAGCAGTTGCAATTAGCATGTAAGAATCCTCCTATTTTGTCCCAACAACCATGAACAAGATGTGGTGAATTTCAACTCTAGAAAAGTATGTATGTGATTGATAAAGTATTAGCACATTTCAAAACTCTATTGCATATAATCCAGTCATAAGCCTGACCAGGTTTTCAAAAGATGCTAGTAATACAAATACTTTATTGAGTTTCAATTTATGAAAATAGCAGGGTATTATAAACATAAATTCTATCTTCATTATAAAGAACATGTGGTGGCACATTTGGCTTCTCCAAGCCCAGAATTCTCTCTCTACTCTGACCTCCTCAGAAACTGTGCTCCTCTTTGATTTGGGCATATTGTACAGTATCTAGCAGATCTTGGACACTTTGAGGGTGTGCACTTCATTGAAGGAAAGCCATTTTCTGTAATCTCTGACATTAGACCTCTGAACCTATTTCCACAGACAGCTTTATCCCTGGGAATCCATAGTATCTTTGAGGCCCATCCTCTGGTTGAGAATGACTATGAGAGAGTGAGCAAAAAAGCTTTTTTATTTTTGAACTGATCTTTTGTGTTACTAAAATAGCAATATTATTTCTACCCCCATTCATTAAGGAACTATTTTGCATTTGAAAATTCAAAGGAAACTCATTGCCATTCATGAGTAGGTTTTTTTTTTTTTTTTTTTTTAAGTTGAATCTATAGAGGTTATCCTAACACTTAAGATAGTCTTAGTTAGAGGCACAGACAGAGATTATGGATTCTGGAAATTCAGGATCCCTAGAGATTTACTTTGTGCCTTTCAGATGAGGAAATGAACCCAGGAGTTACTTGTCCAAGGGAATACAACAAATGTGTGATAAGAACGTCTGGAACATGTCTCTAGATTTCCTGACTCCCATTTCTTTATACCCCTAAGAAGTTCCATTAAGCCTGGGCATACTTCTGCTAAATCTGATGGTGTCTAAATCTGATGGATATAGGTTGACTCAGGA